TGTATGAATCCAGTGATCACAGAGTTGGCACTATGAACTGAATGTTATGACTTATAAATAGCACAGAATAAGCGTGGTTAGTGTGAACCTTAGAAGGGAATACTGTTACAATGTGTGCTACAGAAGTAGGTCACAACACAGTTTTACATTTAGAGTACCATACTTACCAAGAAAGAAAGACAGACAGATATGACATAGAATAATGGCAAAATTGTATCATATTTAAGTTGTTTATTCTAACCAATAAATTAAGAGATTTCTGTTTCTTCTCTCAAAACCTGTTCATCTCAACTACTGGAGATGAACTGCCTACCCTAATGTCATAGTTTCCTGCAAACATAGTGCAGACTTAAGTTTGAAGTTGTTCTGATGACCAGCAATCTCATATTCTGTATCTTCTTCATGTTGAAAGGTCATGTCATCAACAGAAAAAACAAACAAACAAAACAAAATAGTAAGGACGATATAACTCTTTGAAAACCTGCAAAGAAAGTCACACTCCTGTCTGATCTCAAAATGCATTTCTCCTGTTTGTTTTAAAATAAATCTTATTTGACTTGTGTACCTTTGCTCATGTGCCAGTTAACATAAAACTAAACACATTGACACCAGAGCAAAAACATATTTGGGTTTCACACATGTGAAACATTATTGTTGGCATTTTTTAATCTGTACTCATTTTCTAAAGGTTGTAATGTCTCTCATGCAAAGAGAAAAACATTTCCATTGCAGATATTGCAAGTGTGTACCAGCGATTAAAAGTTTACATTTTTTTTTTCACTTTGGAGTTTGTTAAACAAGAAATTGTAATAAGTAGTAGGTATCCTTTTTTAAAAAGAGTTTTTTAAAAAATGCAAAAAACATTGAGGACCTATACCTGCAGAGTAGAAGCTGCTGAGTCACTAGTGTCTGTCAGCCCTGTCCCTCTCGGTATGCTGGACACAATGTACCTGGAGCCCTTTGGCAGAGGCTGTCTAACCACCAGCTTTCCTTTCCTGGTCTCTGCTAGAAACAGACTGTACCAGTAGGCATCATTAGAGACAAGAGTGGAGTCTGCGATGGTGGAGTTCCTCTCACTGATCACACTGTTCCTGGAGGGAGGAGCTGCTTTGCTGGGCTTGGGTTTCTGACACTTGATCACAATGGTGACCAATATGGTGATGAGCAGCAGAAATGACACCAAGCCCAGACCGATGACTAAATACAGGTTGATGTCTGAGAAGATGTCATATTCCAGAGGCTCCTCAGTCATGTCAGAGTAGGCTTTAACAGCAGTCTCCATTGTGGTCAGCTTGATGGTGACTGTAGCAGAGAGAGCAGGCTCTCCATTGTCCTTGGCAACAACAACAAGTCTCTGGTGACGTGGATCTCTGTAACTGAACATCCTCATAGTCCGGATCTCTCCATTGTATTGGTCCAGACTAAACAAGGTGGCGTCAGTCACCTGTAGAAACTGGTAGGTGATCCGAGAGTTGTGCACAGAGTCTGTATCTAAGGCTATCACCTTTGCAATCAGGGATCCTTTATCAGTGGATCTGGGGATCTTTTCCTCCACCACAGAGCCTTGTGCACGCCACGGAGACACAATAACTGGAGCATTGTCGTTCTGGTCCACAATAATGATGTGTACTGTCACGTTACTGCTGAGAGGAGGAGAGCCAGAGTCTCTGGCCTCGATGTGGAACAGAAACTCCTTCTCAATCTCATAATCAAAGGTTTTGAGTGCGTAAAGATTACCGTTCTCTGGATTGATGGAGAACAGCATGGACATGGAGGTGTTAGCTATCTCCTTCTCTATTATGAAATAAACTAGATACTGGTTTTCATGGAGGTCGGGGTCAAAGGCAGTGAGTGAGCTGAGCAAGGCCCCAGGTGCGTTATTCTCCATGACACGTATGGTATAAAATGACTGGGGGAACTGTGGGACATTGTCATTAACATCCAGCAGCTCTAAAGTCATAGTTTCATTGTCAGATAAAGGAGGAGAGCCTCTGTCTGTCACCGTGAAAGTGATGTCATATTCTGGCACCTTCTCACGGTCTAAAGGCTCCGACACTACTAATTCATAATAGTTATCAGAGGACTCCCTCAGTTTGAAAGGCATATTATCTGGAATATGTAGATCAACTATTCCATTATCACCTGAATCTTTATCACTGACACTAACTACAGCTATCACTGTGTCTGTGGGTGTGTCTTCTTTTATTGGACTCTGAAATGATTTAATTGATATTTCTGGGTGATTATCATTCATATCTGTCACCTGTATTGTAAGTTTACACTGTCCAGATACTGAGTTAGGGCCCTTATCACTGGCTATAATTTCCATTTCATACAGTTTTAAATCTTCATAATTTATCATCTCTTTGACTCTGATCTCACCATTTTCTGGATTGAGGTTAAACATCTTTTGGGTCCTTTCTGATGTATACAAACTGTATGAATAAACAATCTCAGAATTGGATCCTTCATCTAAATCAGTGGCATTCAGTTTAATTACTAGACTGCCAACTGGAGAGTTTTCCATCACATCTACGACATATTTTGCTTTTTCAAAAGAAGGGGCGTTGTCGTTGACATCAAGCACGCGAACAATGATGCTGGCTGTACCTGTGCGGGTGGGGACTCCACCGTCCACAGCAGTAAGAATTAGATTATGAACAGCCTGCTTCTCCCTGTCTAAAGGTTTTTTTAAAATCAAGTCTGCAAACTTTGTCCCGTCTCTCCCGGTCTGAATTTCAACTGAGAAATGTTCACTTGAGCTCAGATGGTAATTTTTCACAGAATTTGTTCCAACATCTGGGTCTGCAGCATTGTTCAGTGAGAATCTCTCCCCCACTGGACTTGATTCAGAAATGTCCAAATGCATCGTCCCCCTCCGAAAATGTGGAGCGTTGTCATTAATGTCCGTTATTTCCACCTCAATATTAAACATCCGCACAGGATTCTCGATAGTAGCGTCTAATTTAAGAACGCAGTATGATGTTGTCTTCGATGGACAGAAAAACTCACGGTCAATCCTTTCTAAAATGTACAGCTCCCCCGTTACCTTGTTAATGTCGAGGTATTTTTTGTTAGCTACTACATCCACGCGCATTTTTCTTTCATTCAGCGTCTTCACATCTAACCTCAGGTCGGTTGCTAGATTTGCAACAACAGAACCTTCCTCCATTTCTTCAGGAATAGAATAATGGGTGATTGAAGACGCAGTATTCACGATAGCAGAAAGAAAGAAAATCAGGGAAACGTACCCTGTCCCGCATGACTGTTTGAGATGGTGCATCATCGTGAAGCTTCCGTAACTCTGAAACACCTTGAAATGTGCGGAAACGCAGGTAAATCGTCCTCTTGTTGACTAAACACACGAAACGGACAACATCAGAGAAAATGTTTCTTCCTCACGAATGACGTACATTTTAAATGGGACCACCTATTCTCCTTCCTCCAATAAATTTACGTGAAATCAATGACCTCACTAATGGGTGTGTTTTTCTGCAAAACAGCGACGGAAACAATTGCGCAACTTTTTCAATAAAAAAAAACATAAAAATAAAATTGTTGTTTTTATTAAATAACAACAGAATCAGGGCGTCTCAATTCCCGTTTAAGAAGTTGCTGATGCGAACTGGGACGTGAATTAGTGAATGCACACGAAGTACTTCCCAGTTTTCGGCATCTTTTCATTTCTTCATGCACTTTTTTCTTTATTACGCAATTATCATGAGGAAAACAGCGAGTTTGTAACACAGTATCCCGTTTGTCTGGCGGAGTGCGAGGTTTCCTGTGCTGATGCATGAAACAGTACTGGACAAGTAATGACATCAAATGTATCACTGCGCATTGCGAATGGCAGTTACTCTGTTATGATGTGCTACCGATTTTCCCGTCTTTTCTGTCTGTTTTCAATGCCTAAGGAATGATATAAAGGCCGGTTTAATTGCAAGACACATCTATTTTTGAAACGGCGCTAAAATTATATTACATGTTTTGTGCCATAAAACTTTATTGCGATTTAATAAACTGTATGCATCACCCGGGTCTTTGTCACACTCACCTAAAGACTGTTTGCTCTCGCTATTGGCAAGGTACACAATGCCTGCCTGCTACTTTACACATAAAATTTAGGCAAGCTACTCGATATAGTGTGCACTCAAAGAGACAATGGAAAGAGTTAAGATATTAATATTAATAATAAGGAGAAGAATTTCAGCCAAGTACAGAAAAGTAAGTGCCAGTTAGTGATCAGACCAGTCAACAAAACTAAACAAACACACCAAGCATGTCTGTATTTTTGTAGTTTATGTACAGTTTCAGTGCGTGTATATATGAAGGCTTTCGTTCTTAAATGTTTGTGCATGCTCGATTATTAACATATTTATTTGAACGCTTGAACTGACTATGTAATATTTTCTTATCTTTTCTTTTTTTTTGGGGGGGGGGCATGTTACTGTCTGTGGTTTTATGCACTCTATTTGCAGTGTTTCTACTGAGTTTTGGACCTTGCCTCTATTGGCACAGCCTACTTAAAAACTCAGTTCTCACATAGGCTCATTTGTAAGTCTCTGTGGTTCTGCATTTATACTGTGTAGAAGTTTCCTCCCAAAAATCATAGTGGAAAGGTTTCACCATTAGGTGTGTTGCTATATGGTCAGAATATTTCAAGTATTTAAACAAAATGTAAATATCATATTTATGACACATTTAATTTCCTCAAAACATGTCTAATTTTTCTTTTTAGGCAACCTTTGTATACTGTTAATCTCTCATCTTCCTTTGTTACATGTTTTGGGTGTAATTCTTTAAAAAAAAACTGTACACACAAAATGTACAGTTGAACAATATTTTTCTTTCTTCCCAATAAATATTCCTTTAGTAGATATCTAGTCAGATTAACAAAGTTATTCCTTTGACCACACTAATTATGATGGAGAGAAAATCTGATTTGCTTATTGACCCAAATACCAAATATAGATATTAAAAAAAAAATAGAGGTCGGTAGATTTAAGTAAACTGACTGGACTGGGATGGATTCAAATTCCAAAGCTGAATTAATGATTCAGGCCAACACTGATCACTTGTAAGCGGAGGGGTGGACATTGACAAAGTACATCAGTATAAATAAATGCTGAATGTAAACGTTTCCCATACCTGCAGAGTAGAAGCTGCTGAGTCACTAGTGTCTGTCAGCCCTGTCCCTCTCGGTATGCTGGACACAATGTATCTGGAGCCTTTTGGCAGAGGCTGTCTAACCACCAGCTTTCCTTTCCTGGTCTCTGCTAGAAACAGACTGTACCAGTAGGCATCATTGGAGACCAGAGTGGAGTCTGCGATGGTGGAGTTCCTCTCACTGATCACACTGTTCCTGGAGGGAGGAGCTGCTTTGCTGGGCTTGGGTTTCTGACACTTGATCACGATGGTGACCAATATGGTGATGAGCAGCAGAAATGACACTGAGCCCAGACCGATGACCAAATACAGGTTGATGTCTGAGAAGATGTCATATTCCAGAGGCTCCTCAGTCATGTCAGAGTAGGCTTTAACAGCAGTCTCCATTGTGGTCAGCTTGATGGTGACTGTAGCAGAGAGAGCAGGCTCTCCATTGTCCTTGGCAACAACAACAAGTCTCTGGTGACGTGGATCTCTGTAACTGAACATCCTCATAGTCCGGATCTCTCCATTGTATTGGTCCAGACTGAACAAGGTGGCGTCAGTCACCTGTAGAAACTGGTAGGTGATCCGAGAGTTGTGCACAGAGTCTGTATCTAACGCTATCACCTTGGCAATCAGGGATCCTTTATCAGTGGATCTGGGGATCTTTTCCTCTACCACAGAGCCGTGTGCACGCCAAGGTGACACAATAACCGGAGCATTGTCGTTCTGGTCCACAATAATGATGTGGACGGTCACGTTACTGCTGAGAGGAGGAGAGCCAGAGTCTCTGGCCTCGATGTGGAACAGAAACTCCTTCTCAATCTCATAATCAAAGGTTTTGAGTGCGTAAAGATTACCGTTCTCTGGATTGATGGAGAACAGCATGGACATGGAGGTGTTAGCTATCTCCTTCTCTATTATGAAATAAACTAGATACTGGTTTTCATGGAGGTCGGGGTCAAAGGCAGTGAGTGAGCTGAGCAAGGCCCCAGGTGCATTATTCTCCATGACACGTATAGTATAAAATGACTGCGGGAACTGTGGGACATTGTCATTAACATCCAGCAACTCTAAAGTCATAGTTTCATTGTCAGATAAAGGAGGAGAGCCTCTGTCTGTCACAGTGAAAGTGATGTCATATTCTGGCACCTTCTCACGGTCTAATGGCTCCGACACTACTAATTCATAATAGTTATCAGAGGACTCCCTCAGTTTGAAAGGCATATTATCTGGAATATGAAGATCAACTATTCCATTATCACCTGAATCTTTATCACTGACACTAACTACAGCTATCACTGTGTCTGTGGGTGTGTCTTCTTTTATTGGGCTTTGAAATGATTTAATTGATATTTCTGGGTGATTATCATTCATATCTGTCACCTGTATTGTAAGTTTACACTGTCCAGATACTGAGTTAGGGCCCTTATCACTGGCTATAATTTCCATTTCATAAAGTTTTAAATCTTCATAATTTATCATCTCTTTGACTCTGATCTCACCATTTTCTGGATTGAGGTTAAACATCTTTTGGGTCCTTTCTGATGTATACAAACTGTATGAATAAACAATCTCAGAATTGGATCCTTCATCTAAATCAGTGGCATTCAGTTTAATTACTAGACTGCCAATTGGAGAGTTTTCCATCACATCTACGACATATTTTGCTTTTTCAAAAGAAGGGGCGTTGTCGTTGACATCAAGCACGCGAACAATGATGCTGGCTGTACCTGTGCGGGCTGGAACTCCACCGTCCACAGCAGTAAGTATTAGATTATGAACAGCCTGCTTCTCCCTGTCTAAAGGTTTTTTTAAAATCAAGTCTGCAAACTTTGTCCCGTCTCTCCCGGTCTGAATTTCAACTGAGAAATGTTCACTTGAGCTCAGATGGTAATTTTTCACAGAATTTGTTCCAACATCTGGGTCTGCAGCATTGTTCAGTGAGAATCTCTCCCCCACTGGACTTGATTCAGAAATGTCCAAATGCATCGTCCCCCTCCGAAAATGTGGAGCGTTGTCATTAATGTCCACGATTTCCACTTCAATGTTAAACATTCGCACTGGGTTCTCAACGGAAGCGTCTAATTTAAGAAAGCAAGACGTGGTGGTCTTTAGAGGACATAAAAACTCTCTGTCTATCCTTTCCAGAATAAAGAGCTCTCCTGTGTCTTTTTTGATGTCAAGATATTTTTTATTGCCTACAACGTCAACGCGGATTTTTCTATTACTCAGACTTCTTGTATCTAATCCCAAATCTGTTGCTAAATTCGCAACAAGAGAACCTTCGTCCATTTCTTCGGGAACCGAATAATGGGTGACTGTCGATACCGGATTCATGATGGGAAAAAGAAAAAGAAATACTGAGACATACCATCTTCGGGAACACTTGAGATTACGGTGAGCCATTGAGGAAAAGAATGCGTATTTAAAATCTTTTAATTTCTTCTATGTTCAGACAAGGTGAAGCAATCCTCAAATCTCTGACGAAAGGCAATACGGTAATTTCTGGAGAAAATATCTTTATGCCGCTGTCTTCCGAGCCTGGTGTAAATATGCCATATACAACGCCTACAATGAAGTATCGTGAGAATTATGACGTCACATGAGATTAGGTTTTACTGAAGAGCAGCGCCATCAACAGTATTTAGAGAATTTTTCCGAGTCGTAACAAACTAGAACTTTATTTTTTATTAAAAACAAAAAACAATAATGTTATGAAATACTTCAATTATATTTTTGCCTGCTTTAAGATTTGAATTTCATACTCCAAATATACTTCCTGTTTATTCTGTTTTCTCATTGTAGTTTTTATTCTTCGTGTTTCTTATAATGATATATAATTTTATTTAAACATAGGCTAAATTGCATCATGTAAAACATAAAGACACAACAAATGACTCTGCATTAGGCTTTCAATCAGCGACTTCTGAAAAATGCAATCCAAACAATTTAATATGACTTTCTGGTGTAAGTGATGGGCCTCTGGAATTCATTTAGTTAAATTTCGAGAAATTATTATTATCCATCCATATTTAAGTATTATCCAAAAAATGTGAAGGTTATAAATATCAACTCTTAATAAAAATAAATTTGATAATGCTCAACGTATATCTAAATGACAGCTTTGACCAGAATCAGAATGAAGACAGTATGTCTCAGTGCAAATTTCTAAAATTTGAAGCTGTAAGTTTTGGAAGTTTTTCTATACACAATAGATGCACCTTTGGGTGCTAAAAGGGAGACATAACTGGGGTTTTAACATTTCAAAGTTTTAGAAAAAGAAAAAAAATTCTGAAATTTTCTGTTCAACATGTTCCTTTATGCCTATATTTCATAAAAGTGCAACAAAAGATTTATATATATATGTGCTGAAGGTGTCTTTAAGTGACTTTTTTTATCATACCTGCAGAGTAGAAGCTGCTGAGTCACTAGTGTCTGTCAGTCCTGTCCCTCTCGGTATGCTGGACACAATGTACCTGGAGCCCTTTGGCAGAGGTTGTCTAACCACCAGCTTTCCTTTCCTGGTCTCTGCTAGAAACAGACTGTACCAGTAGGCATCGTTGGAGACCAGAGTGGAGTCTGCGATGGTGGAGTTCCTCTCACTGATCACACTGTTCCTGGAGGGAGGAGCTGCTTTGCTGGGCTTGGGTTTCTGACACTTGATCACGATGGTGACCAATATGGTGATGAGCAGCAGAAATGACACCGAGCCCAGACCGATGACCAAATACAGGTTGATGTCTGAGAAGATGTCATATTCCAGAGGCTCCTCAGTCATGTCAGAGTAGGCTTTAACAGCAGTCTCCATTGTGGTCAGGCTGATGGTGACTGTAGCAGAGAGAGCAGGCTCTCCATTGTCCTTGGCAACAACAACAAGTCTCTGGTGGCGTGGATCTCTGTAACTGAACATCCTCATAGTCCGGATCTCTCCATTGTATTGGTCCAGACTGAACAAGGTGGCGTCAGTCACCTGTAGAAACTGGTAGGTGATCCGAGAGTTGTGCACAGAGTCTGTATCTAAGGCTATCACCTTGGCAATCAGGGATCCTTTATCAGTGGATCTGGGGATCTTTTCCTCCACCACAGAGCCGTGTGCACGCCACGGAGACACAATAACAGGAGCATTGTCGTTCTGGTCCACAATAATGATGTGGACGGTCACGTTACTGCTGAGAGGAGGAGATCCAGAGTCTCTGGCCTCGATGTGGAACAGAAACTCCTTCTCAATCTCATAATCAAAGGTTTTGAGTGCGTAAAGATTACCGTTCTCTGGATTGATGGAGAACAGCATGGACATGGAAGTGTTGGATATCTCCTTCTCTATTATGAAATAAACTAGATACTGGTTTTCATGGAGGTCGGGGTCAAAGGCAGTGAGTGAGCTGAGCAAGGCCCCAGGTGCATTATTCTCCATGACACGTATAGTATAAAATGACTGGGGGAACTGTGGAACATTGTCATTAACATCCAGCAGCTCTAAAGTCATAGTTTCATTGTCAGATAAAGGAGGAGAGCCTCTGTCTGTCACAGTGAAAGTGATGTCATATTCCGGCACCTTCTCACGGTCTAATGGCTCCGACACTACTAATTCAAAATAGTTATCAGAGGACTCCCTCAGTTTGAAAGGCATATTATCTGGAATATGAAGATCAACTATTCCATTATCACCTGAATCTTTATCACTGACACTAACTACAGCTATCACTGTGTCTGTGGGTGTGTCTTCTTTTATTGGACTCTGAAATGATTTAATTGATATTTCTGGGTGATTATCATTCATATCTGTCACCTGTATTGTAAGTTTACACTGTCCAGATACTGAGTTAGGGCCCTTATCACTGGCTATAATTTCCATTTCATAAAGTTTTAAATCTTCATAATTTATCATCTCTTTGACTCTGATCTCACCATTTTCTGGATTGAGGTTAAACATCTTTTGGGTCCTTTCTGATGTATACAAACTGTATGAATAAACAATCTCAGAATTGGATCCTTCATCTAAATCAGTGGCATTAAGTTTAATTACTAGACTGCCAACTGGAGAGTTTTCCATCACATCTATGACATATTTTGCTTTTTCAAAAGAAGGGGCGTTGTCGTTGACATCAAGCACGCGAACAATGATGCTGGCTGTACCTGTGCGGGTGGGGACTCCACCGTCCACAGCAGTGAGTATTAGATTATGAACAGCCTGCTTCTCCCTGTCTAAAGATGTTTTCACAATCAGGTCTGCAAACTTTGAACCATCTCTCCCGGTCTGAATTTCAAGCGCAAAGTGTTGATTTTTACTAAGATGGTAATTTTTTACTGAATTTGAACCAAAATCGGGATCCACAGCATTAGGTAGGGAAAAGCGCTCCCCTGGCGAGGTCGATTCGGATATATCTAAATGCATCGTGTCTCTACGAAAAAAAGGCGCATTGTCATTGATGTCCATTATTTCAACCTCAATGTTGAACAGACGAATTGGATTTTCGATCGTCACATCCATTTTAAGAAAACACGATGGATTCTTGCTGTTACATATGTATTCGCGGTCAATCTTTTCAGAAACAAATAACTCTCCTGTGTCTTTATTGATTTCAAGATATCGCTTATTGGCGATGACATCCAGTCTCATGTTGCGTCTACCCAGTGATTTTGCGTCCAGACCCAAATCCAATGCTAGATTAGCGACCACGGAACCTTGTTCCATCTCTTCGGGGATTGAGTAGTGTGTAACAGCAGATATAACGGAGACGGCCACACAGAAAAAAATGAGCATCGACACGTACCTCACCCCAGAGCGATGACATAATTTAAAATCCATGATTATTAGTTCGTCTCGTTCACAAATAAAACGCCTCTGGATGGGCAAAATCGATGTCTCGGTTCCAAGAAAGCACACCTCTATGAATATCAACAAAGAGGTTATATACTATGACCTCGGGCTGCTAGAAGAAAGAACCATGTAAAAATGGAGGTTCTGTTACTTTCCTCAGTTATCTGGATGGTGACGTCACGTGGACCTGATTTTTTTTTGTGGTAAAGAGCGACGCGTTGTGTTATCTCTCACTTGAATTAACCGACTTCGAAAGTATAACGCTGATATGCTTTACAAATGTAGTTGTTATAGTTATTAGTGTCGTTGCTCCTACAGCTGTCCTCCTAATTTACCTAAAATATAGATCGTTTGTAGCATTCAACTGCAGTTACTAGATGCCAACAAAAGCACAGCAAGATAATTAATTTGATTAATAAACACATAATTTGTTTTCTTATTGGTATTTGGTTGAGTGGTTTTAAAAAATAATGGATACACAGTGTTAACGGTGTTGATTAAGCAGAGAAACAGCAGTAAAACCATAGAACTGGTAAGTGTAAAAATTTCACTCGTTGCTTCTCCATACCTGTAGAGTAGAAGCTGCTGAGTCACTAGTGTCTGTCAGTCCTGTCCCTCTCGGTATGCTGGACACAATGTACCTGGAGCCCTTTGGCAGAGGTTGTCTAACCACCAGCTTTCCTTTCCTGGTCTCTGCTAGAAACAGACTGTACCAGTAGGCATCGTTGGAGACCAGAGTGGAGTCTGCGATGGTGGAGTTCCTCTCACTGATCACACTGTTCCTGGAGGGAGGAGCTGCTTTGCTGGGCTTGGGTTTCTGACACTTGATCACGATGGTGACCAATATAGTGATGAGCAGCAGAAATGACACCGAGCCCAGACCGATGACCAAATACAGGTTGATGTCTGAGAAGATGTCATATTCCAGAGGCTCCTCAGTCATGTCAGAGTAGGCTTTAACAGCAGTCTCCATTGTGGTCAGCTTGATGGTGACTGTAGCAGAGAGAGCAGGCTCTCCGTTGTCCTTGGCTACAACAACAAGTCTCTGGTGGCGTGGATCTCTGTAACTGAACATCCTCATAGTCCGGATCTCTCCATTGTATTGGTCCAGACTAAACAAGGTGGCGTCAGTCACCTGTAGAAACTGGTAGGTGATCCGAGAGTTGTGCACAGAGTCTGTATCTAACGCTATCACCTTGGCAATCAGGGATCCTTTATCAGTGGATCTGGGGATCTTTTCCTCTACCACAGAGCCGTGTGCACGCCACGGAGACACAATAACAGGAGCATTGTCATTCTGGTCCACGATAATGATGTGGACGGTCACGTTACTGCTGAGAGGAGGAGATCCAGAGTCTCTGGCCTCGATGTGGAACAGAAACTCCTTCTCAATCTCATAATCAAAGGTTTTGAGTGCATAAAGATTACCGTTCTCTGGATTGATGGAGAACAGCATAGACATGGATGTGTTGGCTATCTCCTTCTCTATTATGAAATAAACTAGATACTGGTTTTCATGGAGGTCGGGGTCAAAGGCAGTGAGTGAGCTGAGCAAGGCCCCAGGTGCGTTATTCTCCATGACACGTATAGTATAAAACGACTGCGGGAACTGTGGGACATTGTCATTAACATCCAGCAGCTCTAAAGTCATAGTTTCATTGTCAGATAAAGCAGGAGAGCCTCTGTCTGTCACAGTGAAAGTGATGTCATATTCTGACACCTTCTCACGGTCTAAAGGCTCCGACACTAGTAATTCATAATAGTTATCAGAGGACTCCCTTAGTTTGAATGGCATATTATCTGGAATATGAAGATCAACTATTCCATTATCACCTGAATCTTTATCACTGACACTAACTACAGCTATCACTGTGTCCAATTCAATGTTTTCAGTGACTGGAGTTTGAAAAGACTTGATAGAAATTTGTGGATGATTATCATTCATGTCTTCTACAATAATCTTAATTTTACATTGGCCTGATAATGCACCAACCCCTTTATCGGTTGCTATAACTTCCATATCATAAATCCTGAAATCTTCATAATTTAACACCCCCTTTACAGTGATCTCACCTGTCGTAGGGTTTAGATTAAAGGTTTCCTGTGTTTTTTCCGATGTATACAGACTATATGAATATACTATTTCTGAATTTAAGCCTTCATCTAAATCTGTCGCATTAAGATGAATAACAATACTTCCAACTGGAGAATTCTCCAGTACACTAACCTGATAACTGTCTTCTTCAAATTTAGGGGCGTTGTCATTTGTATCTAAAACGTGAACAAAAACAGTAGCAGTTCCTGAACTAGGCGGTATACCGCCATCTACGGCCGTAAGAATTAAATTATGAGCAGCGCGTTCTTCTCGATTTAGTTTTTTTGTAAGGATCAAATCAGCAAATTTTGATCCATCTCTTCCTGTTTGAATTTCGATAGTGAAATAATCACTCTCACTCAAGTGGTAGGCTTTTACGGAGTTCGATCCAACATCTGGATCAACTGCGTTGCTCACTGAAAAACGCTCTCCAGCCTCTGTCCCTTCTGAAATGTCTAAATCT